GATACCTCTCTTTGTTCCAATAGGTACACAGCCCACTCGTAATCTCCCTCTCTGTGTACGGAATGCATCCACGGTCATCATCGCCGTTGCTCTCCTGAAAAATGGAGATGTCGGGCGAGTGCAGGCCGGGAACAGCTACCAACTCCATACCATGCGGCACTTGAGGAGCGGAAGGAAACACCACACTCCTGTCAGCGGGGGGGGGGCATACATTGCCGGAGGAACGACGCTGCTCGCAGCGGGCGGGAGACCGTACACAATTGATGACACTACGCTGTTTGCAGCGGGCGGGAAACCGGGCACAGTATAGGGCACTACGCTGTTTGCAGCGGGCGGGAAACCGGGCACAGCAGATGGCACTACGCTGTTTGCAGCGGGCGGGAAACCGGGCACAGTAGAGGGCACTACGCTGTTTGCAGCGGGCGGGAAACCATACACCGTGGAAAGTACGACGCGGCAGCAGCGGGCGGAAAATTCGACACGGTGGGTTGAACAACACTCCTGGGAACGGTTTGAGGTACAGACATCACCGGAGGCACTACGCTGCTTTCAGCGGGCGGGACACCTGACACTGCGGAAGGAACTTAGCTACACCCGGAGGGGGGGAAAACACCGGTGGGGTTTCTGACATCACTCTACCATCGCATGTAAACGTACACCAGCAGCGCGGGGAGGGGGCACCGGGGGAAAACGCATCAAAGGCACAGCGGTGGGCGTTTCATAGTTGGGCGGCAAACGTGTGGCCCAAAGCGACGAACCCCTCTCGCCACGGGGAAAGGTCAATTGATCACCGGTTGTTGATAAACACCGGTCACGTGCGTCACTGCATGCCCCCCCGTAGATGGTGCTGCCATCGTCGCCACCACCGTCGCTCCTGCTGCTCCTGGCTCTACCCCTTCTCCGCCGTATTGCTGCGCGGTGCTGGCCTGCCCGTACGAGTGGGCCCACGGCGGCCGCTGGCTGTAGCCACCGGCCGGCGGCCGGGGCGGTGGGGGCCTAGGCGGCGCGTTGGCGGCCAGCATGCCAGCTGGCCTTCCGACATCAACACGCGAAGGGCAGAACAGCTGGTTGTGGCCGAGTTCACCGCAGTTCTCACACCGCTTGCGAGGGTCATTCGGGTGGATGGGAGGTTCATTTCCCTGCGGGCGGTACACGTGGGGGGGGTCGGCGCTGTAGTCGTAGCCCCGCTAAGGTACAGGGTAGGTGGGGAGGTTGCTGCCCGGTGGTCTGGGTGGAAATGGCCCCTGCCCCTCCCACCGGAAGCGGCGCCACGTCCCCCGAATCTTCCTCCTGCCGGCTACTGCTGATGACGTCCTCCTCCAGAAAAGCCCCGGCCCCCATGTTGGGGCCCGTGCCTCCCGCCGTAGCTCGCACCTAGACCGCCCGAGGGACCTCCCCAACCCCGCTGCAAGCGACATTCTTCGTTGCTGAGGGACGAGTAGGTGGAGGTCACAATATTTTGTCTCAGGCGGATACGGCGGCGGGTATACCTGTTGCTGCTGCTTGAAGTACGGCTGATGCTGCTGCTGTGGCTGCTGCGGTTGTTGCTGCTGTTGCCGCGCTGCCGTCCTCCGTTGTCCTCTCGTCTTCCCCCTATCCCCCATGTTCCCGCCCCCGCCACCACGGTTGTCGCCGCCAGTGACGAGGGCATAAGCCCCCACGCTCTCCTGCTTCTTCTTGACCCGCAACACAGTGTAGATGAGGCTGACGTCCGCCGGCGATCGGAGCTGGTCTTCGGGTCGCGGGCGTGACTCCGAGCCAGCCGGCCTCTCCAGCCGGGTGTCGCCTCCGTCGGAAGGCATGCCCTCGCTCTGCGTTGAGGGGCGCTCTGCTGCTGCTGCTGCTGCTGCTTCTACTTTGATCTTGACCTGCTCCTTGATAAGAGCGTCGATTACGTTTCGCTGCTCGTCCGAGAGCTGGAGCTCATCCAGCTGCTGCTCCATGATTTCCGTGTCACTGTTCTCTGGCCGAACCCTTTTGTAGCTAGCCCCACCTCGGGATCCCGTATGGTATAACCACGCTAGCGTGTTAGGATAATCCGAACTGGGGGTAGCTTGTCGCAAGACGTGTGTTGAATAGGGCATCGGCAACTCGGCGGGCTTGCGCCGAGGAAAAATCTTGTTGTGATTAGTTGCATCCACATACATACACAAGCCGTATACAACAGGGGTACCTTGTAATCCCTGGAATCCATTCTACGTACCACACATGTCACCCGGTATTCCGCTTTACCTCATTCCATGGGAACATCCAGCACCAACCACTTGGCATTGCTACAAGTATATGTACCACAAATATGGCTCAAAAATGTCTTCCCTAGTCTGTGTATCCTAACGATATCCCTTACCGCCTTTTCAATCCACCTCGTATGCCCCAGTACAGCTACCGTCCTTTCCGCTCTATCCCGTGCCTCAAGCATCTCCCTGTACGTCCCATCTATTTTTCCCAGCTCAGTCACGTACACTTCCCTCTCCTTCTTGTACAACAGACATTCCGCGACNTACATGAACACGGTCTTCGCATTCGAAGCCGCAATCACATTTGAACTCGTCGTCTTCCTCGTCTACCGTCCTATGTCTTCGTCGACGTTCTCGAAGGCCTATGTCCCCGGTCCTGAATTTGACCTTAAGCTTTGTTCCTGCACCCATTCGTCCATGTAAGTAATCGTTGAACCCTGTTCCTTCTTTCAACATTCCGTACACTTCTAGACCCTCCTTATCCTTGGTTTCTTTCTTAAGATTCTGTTCTTCTCTCTCGGCACAAGCAAGAGATATCTTCTCCTAGAACTCCTTTAGACCCTCCGTTTCCAGCGTTTCATCTTCGTCGATGTCGAGCCCCTTCCATACGTTCTCTACAACATTGGCCCATTCCGTGGGTTGTCTACCGCTCGTTTTGTTTGCCCACTTCGCCTCCCATACAATCCTCGGCAACCTTTCCTCTCCCATCCCGCACATGCGATACTGCCATGTCAGCTTCCGCGCGTCTCTTCCCGACCGTAGGGATTGGATCCCCAATTCTGCCCTCACGGCTGCATTACTTGTACGCTTGGAGCATCCTGGGATGATTTTCGCTGCTTTCATCTGCGCCGCGTCGAGTTCTTTCACCACCTTATTATTTCCTTCCCATACTTCTCCGGCGTACTCTAGCTGCGGTACGATTACGCTCTTCAAAACCGTCAATTTGATGCGTGTATCGAGGTGCCGGTTTGCGAGTATTGGGTGCAGCTTCCCTGCTCGTGCTTTGCCCTTTTCCGCTACCTTGGACATGTGTGCATTCCACGAGCAGTCTTTTGCGATCTCTACTCCGAGGTATGTGTACTGGTCGTGTACTGGTCCACCACTGCAGTCTCCTCGATCCCCCATTTCTACTGGTTCCTCCTTGTTCTCGTTGCATACCATGACCGCATTCTTCTTAACGTAGGCAGACAATCTCCACTTATCAGAAAACTTCTTCGCCGCGTCAATTTGTAGTTGCAGTCCCTCAGGGGTGTCCGACATACCGACAAAATCATCCGCAAACAGCATTCCTGAAACCGACGTTTCCGTGTCCCCTACTTTTACTCCCTTCCGGACTGCCTCTACGACTTCCAACAGATCGTT